CAAGTACTTGTTCGTAGAGGTACAAGCTCGGGGAGACACCGACAAACCCGGCGCTTCCCTGCTCTCTTCCCTCACATCTCACTTTCTCACTCTAGCTAGCTACTAGGGCATAGCCCTTTGGAAATGAAGCTCAAGTGGTGCTCTTTCTCCCTTGGAATGCTGTTGTCAAGTGAGGGAGTGAGGCCCTCTACTTATAGGTGGGAGAGGGGGATGATTCCATGGAATATTCCCTTCATTAACCCCCCAAACCGACCTCAAACCAGCATCCACGTTCAGTGTATCAGGCAACCCACCCCAAAACCACCTTTGGGATGTCAGCATGGGCCACACGAAGAAAGATGGGCCGATTTGGCCACAAAAGTGGCGCATCCACTCCCCTGGCGCAGCTGAGCACCCACTGAGCCCAAATGTGCTCATTTTTGGTGGGCGTGCTCCTTTGGGCCTCCTGAGTTGGCCTAGGGGGTGCACTCATGGAGTTGAGATGTTTTTGTGTGGGTTTGGGCTTGATTTCCTCTCGTCTGGGCCCTGAGTTATCTGGTAACGGGCTTGCTTCCATTTGGGCTCATGTCGGGTATATATTTTGTTGTGTTTCTTGTATATTCTAAGCTTGTTTTCCATGTAATCTAGACATGTCCACCTGCAAATGGTAAAACACCAAAACTTATAGAATCGGTTAGTTATAAGCCCTAACTCTAAGTTTGGTGTGAATTTTAGGTCAAAGTTGGCGGCTAAAAATGTGAGTTAAGGACCACCAACAAGTACCCCCACACTTACTTCTTTGCTCGTCCTCGAGCAAAGCTTAGAGATAAAAGTAATCATGAACATAACATCTTAAGATATATGGCTTTCATGAAAGTTACTTTAGCATATTCTTTACACAAGTGGGATATGTGGTGCTAGCTAACATGTTTCCTTGAGTTGTTGAAAAGTGGAACAGTTCTCAAAACAAAGTCATCTTCCCAATTTCACATCTTAGCAACTTAGAGTTTTGAAGGTTTTCACAAACAAAAGCATAGTTCACTTTATACTCCTCAAATGGCACTCTCAAATACTCAATGGTGTATATATCCTTACCAAGGCATAACAAAGTTTTGCCTTCTTTTGTTTTCTCCTACTTCTAAAAAGGTTTATGTGGAGCTTCAGGTAGGGATAAACAATATGGCATGCTTGTATTGTATATATTGTAAAGTCAAATCGAGGATCCAAGGAGAGGAGTGTCATGCTCTTAGATCAAGATGTGCATGTGTGTGGAAAGTGATAAACTAAAACTATACTCCTTTTGTAGATATGATCTCTCTCTAACTTTATTTTTGAGACATGGCTATCATCATCATTTTTTTATATTTATGAGCTTTCATGTGCTCATCATTCATTTTTTCGATACTTTGAGACCTTCATGTGTCCCTATATTTTTTATTTTCTTGGACCTTGATGTGTCCAAATATTTTTCTCTTTTTTTTATACTTTTACATAGCTCATGTCTCTTGTTCTAAACTACTTATTTAGAGAGATCATTATCTGTTTAGCACATGGAGTATTTTTCTAACAAATATTTTTTTCTGCTCCTAGTATAAGAGCAGAATTTTGGTGGACAGAAGCATGTTTTTGCGTACTCCCAGTGTAGGAGCAGCAAGTGTATGTGGGTGTACGTGATCTTGATCTTGGGAGCATGATAAATCTCTCAACAAGGGTCAACAAGACTTGACCAAACTCAATACAACAACAAGCAACATTTGTGGAAGGTTTGATACTTACAAGATGTTATATTTGACTTTGGTAGGAATTGCTCACCAAATGAGGAGTATGTGATACTATAGTTTTATAACATTTTTATCAAAATAAATTCTCCAAGTGCTTTGAATACAAATGGTAGGATTTCTAAGTCAGAACTATATCACACCCCGCAACAACTTAGTCAACATGATTGTCCTATTAGAATATTTCCCACAAGCATAAATACATGTATGTGGAATAAAATTCATGCAAGCTTCTATCTTAAAAATGTTATGATCATGTCACTTTTTAAGATTTTAAATAAAGTGTGGATCAAAATTTGCATGGAAGCATAGTTGGTTCATTGAGTTTAATTTTAGTGATAAAAATTGTGTTTGTTTAAACTCAAAGTTATAGGAAGATTGAGGGAGAGAGTTGCACAAACCACCGTTGAAGATGAAGGAGTTTATGGGGATTCAGAGATGGTCCAACCAAACCAGAGGTTCGGTCAATCCATTCTAAGACTTTTTGTTTTGTCCTTCTACATGATGGATCGCTCGATGTTTGTGCAACGCATTGAGGAGATCTCAAATATATGTTAGTTATGCTTGAGAGATCTCCCCCATATTTGTTCTTGTACCTGTTTTATTTTAATAAAGAAACAGAAATAAAAGAAACAGAGACAAGTAATGGCTCTACCGGCTTGAATACCGTGGAACCCAAATTTATTATTATTATTTATTAATTGATTTTTTTAATTTAATTTAATTTATTATATATATTTATATATTTATGATAATAAATTTTATATTATTATTTTTTTATTATTATATATTTTTCCATTATTATTTATTTGTTCACCAAACTTTATATACTCAAACAAGGCTAATGTAAAGTTTGCAAAAATAATCTGTAGCCTTGATTCATCTCCTACATGAGAGTTAGCTCCAAAGTTTATGAAAGTAATACTCAAAGTTCATTTAATAAAGATTAAACACCATGTCTAATTTTGATTAAAGAATGCTATTTTAACCTAAGCACCATGCTTAATTTAAAAAAAACTATGGATGCATCGTATATGTACTGTATACGAATACACCCAAACCAGAGCTTACAACATAAACATGAATTTGTATGATCAAGATCGTGGAGACAAACATGAGTAATGGTGTTGGTGAACATTTATTTACCTTTGCATACCTGAGTTTCTCACCGGCAGCATATGTGGATGAAGATTTTTGAAGTTACTACAACAGTGGCTTGTATACGGTTCATCTCAGGTTATCACCAAGGTTAGGCTACACACACAACTAGTGTGTGTGAACCGTGGGCCTTAGTGATAGCAAAGGTCTAAGAGAGGGAAATGCTTCTTCTCTCTCCCCTTTTTTCTATCATATATTTTTTTCTTTTCTTTCTTTTCTTTCTTTTTTTACTCTTTTTTAGCTTTCTCCCGTTTTTTCATCATTCATTTTTTTCTATATATAGCAAGGTAGAGCTGTCATTTCTTTATAACCCCAAGATGACCTTTGGTGTGGATGATTTTCACCACTCTCCCCCACACTTGAACTTTTGTATAAAAGTCAAGTGTACAATGTCGGGGGTCTCCCTTGGAGTGTGTTCCATCACCAAAGAACATTGATATGTATAGTTGATGCAGGTCTTTCATGTTCTCAAGCATTGTACGTCCCCTCTTCTTCTCGATCTCTTCCTGAAAAGGTTAGTGACCAAGAATACCCGAAGGTGCATTCTAACTTGACAACATGATCTTGTTTTTATTAAAAAAGGAAAGTTTATTATTATTATTATTTATTATTATTATTATAGAATATAAAAAATATATTTCTTTTCATGATAATCATATAGATATATAAATATATGAATATATTTTTTCTTATGATAATCATATTTATGTGTTTTTTATTTTTATTTTTATTTTTGATAGTCTGGGGTATCTCCTGGCAGTGCTTAATTTATGGTCTTTAAGCTTGACCGCAGGAACTTTGTCTTGCAGCTATCAATGGTGGTATAGTTCCTAGTTTTACCACCAAATGTTTAGTATCAATGCCCAAGCTGCAAGGTTAGTACCACGTGCTTCTACATGACTTGTAGTATTATATTTGCAACATAGGGGAGGAGAGGCCTAGGCTAGTCAATTCCGGCCATCGGGGTGGGAGCCGATGGTGAGCGGCGGCGCGCAAGCATCACTAGCATCCGCCCCGTGCTCGTGGGTGCCCTTAGCTCGGCCGGGGACAACCCGAGGCGCCCCGGCTCATGCACCCGGCGGCCATCGGCAGGGGCGGCTGCAGCGAGGCATCCGGTGGCATTGGGGATTGGGGAAGAGGCCGGGGAGGCCCTCTTCTGTTAGTGGACGCGAGATCTGAGTGAGCCTCCGTAGTCGGCGGCGAATTCATGAGGTCGACGAGAAGTCGGCCACGTATTGTCGGACAAACGCACTGCCAGGGAAGAAAAAAGGGCAATAGTTACACATCAGCTGCTGCTACCTACTTATACTTTTATTTTTCGATTGCTGGTAGGAGGACTTTTGCTCTGCCAGGCAAAGAAGAGACTGCTAGCTAGTATACTTTTGGCGGTGAAGAATTGTGACTGACCGCAAGCAGACCCATCATCATGCTAACTGCACAGCAGAACAAAATATCTGTCGTTCTGAAATCTGAATTTTTCATATGTAAAGGAGATCAAACAAACGCTGCACGTTCTGATCAAAACGTTGGGTGTGTCTGACTCTGATAAAGCAGAGTCATGTGGTTAATACAATAGAATGCTCCATGCCTCCATGGAGAATAAACAGTACAGTTCAACTCTGAAAACTGAGACTTCATATGCAAAGGAGATCAAAGAAACGCTGCATGTTCTTATTAAAACGCTGGGTGTGTCTGACAAAGCAGAGTAAGCAGTTAATACAGCAGAATGCTCCATGCCTCCATGGAGAATAAAACAGTTCAGTTCAACAATTTACTTCATAACATCTGGTAGCAAAGGAAATCCATTCGCAGTAGCTCGGTTGTGTAAAATTCATTCGCAGTAGCTCGCTTGAGTACAGGCAAGATGGAAATTGTGAGCATAATGCATTTCTTCATAGCAAAGCAGAGCTCGAGGATGCCAACATAGCCTTTACTGTTGCTTTCTTGATATATCGTCATATAACTTCTTAAATCATATCCACAGGTACGGGCAAGGACTGAAATGAATTTGTTTATCATATATAGCCTCAAGATCTTCATCTACTTTTTTCATCCAAGCAGGTCTTTTATCTTGACTCAGGCTAATCAAGGACTGCCAAGTGCAGTGGACCTGCAAAAATAGGCAAGTACTCAAAAGCCAGAAATACACCCTCATTCAAACTATTCAAGAAATGAATCAGTTCAAGAGTGTCTCTGTGTGTTTCCTTTACATATTCATCAGCAGCAGTGAAATTACTAAAGCAAACCAATTTTTAACTTCTTGTGTGGTGCTTGCATATTGAACTACGTAATATTAGTTTGCTAAACATGACGACCGCCTAGTGTTCCCTTTTCCCTTGAGTGGCATCAAAGCATGCACATCTGTATGTTAATATGGGTGTTCAACTGAAAAATTGATCAACTCACAGAGGCTTTAACGACAGCACATAACTGAATCGTATAATATAGTATTCTTTGTAGCTTGTGAGACACAAAAGCACAAATGGTATTGTGATCTCCACACCCAAATGATTAAATGAATCAAACAGCACACAACTGGATCATATAAAGTATTCTCTCCACAACAAGATGATTAAATGAATCAAACAAAACCAGGACCGTACAATACACACAAGAAGCCCTCCTTGTCTCTGGAAAAAGCGTGAATCAACAAATGAGCCTGGTCTACCTGAAACCAGAGTTCAAATTAGCCAACCCATACATGCTTGTGGCATAAACTGGGCATTTCTCCAGTGGTGAGTTGGAAAGAAAAAGGTACAAGGAAACTAGTGAATTACATAGAAATATGATTTGCTTACTGGCAACGAGTTGATGTTGTTATGCAGGCATAACAAGTAACAACAATGGCCTCGGCAGCAAGTAGTTAGATAATCCCAATCGCAGATTTCCCATTAGTAAGTGTGAACACAATATGCAAATGGCTGAGCAGGCTGTATGAGCACTTAGACCTGGAAACAATTAAAATGAATAAAAAATAATTAGAAAATAGGCTCTCTAGCGAATCTACATAAGGGAAAAAAGGAGACTACTCATAGGTACAGGTACAAGTAGTACAACAAACTCACCCGATCTTGCCAAATCTTCCACACACGGTCACACCCCCTTCATCTGTCTAAACCATGACGACATCAGGGATGTGGGAGATGAGGTGCCTGTCCTCCCCTGTTTCTCTCTCGCAGCACCTCGCTAGATCAGGGCATCGGTAGATCCCTGTCGGTGTTTCGAACAAGCACCGACAAGTAAATTTATAATTGATGCGCGTTAGGCCCGGATGGTGCGCTAATGGACACAAGGTTTATACTGGTTCGGGCTGAATGTCCCTACGTCCAGTCTATTGCTGCTCGTGTTATTAGCACCGAAAGAGGTTCGTAGTAGGGGGTACAAACGGTCGAGAGAGGGACTGGTCCCAAGTCTCTGATGGAAGGGTCGAAAGGATGCTAGGAGCCTGGTGGCGGCCTAGCTGTGTGTGTGATGAGTTGAACTGAACTCTCTGTGAGTTCGTTTGTGTCTGTGTTCCGTTGAAAAGTCGATCCCTCTAGTGGGGAGCCCTGCCCTCCCTTTTATAGACCAAGGGGGGAGCAGAGGTTACAGATGGGAGAAAGAGGAAAATACCAAGGGTATAAAAGGTCCTCCGAAGGATCCCGGTCTTCCTTTTTCCCTGCGCCTGCTCTGTATAACATGGTAGATAGTGTCAGAAGTGGCGTGTTCGTTGATCTTCGTAGGCCCTGCCCTGGCTTTATTTAGCAAGTGGGCACGTCCCTTCCCGCCCCTGCGGGCGGCGTGTCAGACAGGGTTGTCGATTTCCGACCCCGTGGGGAGCGGATGGCGCGGTGACTGCCCGTTTGCCGTCGTAGAGGATGAGAGTCCCTCCTTGGAACGTAGTGGTTGTCGTATGCCCGTGTCGGGTTCTTCGCCCGGAGGCTGAGGGCGGCGCCTACAATACTGTAGGGCGGAAAGCATGCGCCTGCAACATTGTTCCGGCTCTGCCACGCCTGGAAGGGTCTAAGCGCTCGTCTTGTCACATCCTGACGGTACTTCCCTGCAGGGGGGCAGGGTATGGTCCTTGATGCCGCGGTTGACCCAAACGTCTTGTCTTACCCTGTGCCTATCATCATGAGGGAGCAGGGTGCGCTTGTTAGGTGAGGTGGAGCCAGCCTTTGGACATCGGGCGAGACGAGGTCCGCCCTCGAACGTCGGATGAGGTGGAGCCTAGCTTTTATCCATCGGGTGAGGCCGAGCCCGGCCCTCGGGGGTCGAGCGAGGCGGAGTCTAGCCCGCGGGGGTCGGGCGACGCGGAGTCTATCCCGCGAGGATCAGGCGGGGCAGAGCTTAGCCCTCGGGGGTCGGGTGAGGCGGAGTCTAGCCCTTAGCCCTCGGATGAGGCGGAGCCGAGCCCTCAGCCCTCGGGCGAGGAAGAGTCGTTCTCCAGCCGTCGGGCGAGGCGGCGTTGGCCCTCGGGCGTCGGGCGAGGTGGAACAAAACTCCCGTCATTCGGGCAAGAAGCGCAGCGGTGCTCTTGTCCGTTCAGGAGTTTTTAACGTTCGATGTTTATTAGTTTCACCTCCTTGGGTACCCCGGTATTAGGTCCCCGACAGTAGCCCCCGAGCCCCCGGGTGATTTCAGAGGGAATCGCCCGGGGGGTGTTTTGATTTCGTCGGAGTTAATCCGCCAAAGGGTGCGCGCGAGCGCACCCGGTGGGTGTAGCCCCCGGGTGATTCGAGTAGAATCGCTCGGGGGGTAGTGTCGATTTCGTCGGAGTCAATCCGCCAGAGGGTGTGCGCGAGCGCACCCGGTGGGTGTAGCCCCCGGGTGATTCGAGTAGAATCGCCCGGGGGGTAGTATCGGGCCCTCCGCGGGTAAGGCCATAAGACTTGGTTTTTTGTCAACCGGATATTTTTTTAGGGAATCGTGGTATCCCGTTCGCGGGGATTTCGTTCAGGGTTGGCCTGATTGGAGCTACTATGGATCGAGGCCCTGGCGATGCTTGCATCCTTGAGTCCCGGTCATTTTGCGGGCCCATCCCTCGCTGGGGTGGCCATCGAGACGGTTCAGACCGAGCCCTAGTCGTTATGGGCCCAGACGGATCAGAGAAGAGTTTTTTCTGGCCCACGTCTCCTCTGTGGGAAAAGAGTCTGGTCGCTTCGGGAAGGCAAACCGTCCAGCGCGATTTTGGTGGGAGAGGATAGGGATTCCGGGCGCGTGTCCCGCGACGTGACGCGACGGTGCGCGTGGCAGGCCTAGAGATCGAGGTGGACGGTTGCCCTTCTCGCATCCGTCACCCCTATAAAACCACGGGGTTCGCCCCCAGGGTTCCGTATTTCGCCCCCTTGCCTTTGCGTCCGAAACCTCAGTCGCCAATCGCCCTAGCCTCCTGCGCCCGCGCTGCCGCCACCGTCAAACTCGTTGTTGCCTTCTTCTCCGTGTTGCTCCCGCTGTCGCAATGGACCCGAGGTACAAATCCAACATCTCCATTCGGCGCCTGGAGGGCCTCGTCCGCCGAGGCCTCCTTTGCCCGTTGACCGCCGCCGAGGAGTGGCGACTGCCCGGTAAGGAGGAGGAGCCGCAGCCGCCTGAAGGGTACGTCATGTCTTTTGCCCACTTCCATGAGCGGGGATTCGCCATGCCCGCCCATCCGTTTTTCCGGGGACTGTTGGACTACTATCAGGTGGAACTGTAGCACCTTACCCCCACCGGGATCCAGCACATTGCGGCGTTCATCGCCCTGTGCGAGGGGTTCTTGGGGATCAGTCCCCACTTTAACCTATGGCGGTATCTCCTTGTCGTTAATCTGGTGAAGAGGCGGGTCAGACAGCAAGAGCTGCTGTTACGGTGTGGACGGGAACGGTGAGGAGATTGCAGGGGTGAATGAAGAAGAAGGCTGGATTGAGAGTTGGAGCGCAAGGGATAGCGAGGAAGCAGTGCAGCGGAGGGTTCACCGACGGCAGCGGCAGAAGCGCTCGCAGCCACCATCGAAGGTAACCCGCCCACCTTGGGAGGTTTATTCCTTCTTCGATAAGATCTAATACAATCTATAAGTGCCCTTTATATAATAGGTGCACTCCTAACAAACCAAAATAGATTTCCTAATTATAGATAGATTTCCTAAATATCCTCCCTTTCCTCTCCTAACTTGATCAGCTGATCCCCTTAGCCACAACTGGGCCTGGGCCAGCGCCTGTACTGACGCCCTACAAAGGCGTCTATAACACTTCCCTCCTCCCCAACAAACAGATCGTCCGCGAGCTGAAATGCTGGATAGCGCTCCTTAAAGTCATCAATATCTTCCCAAGTAGAATCAGCAGCAATCCGCCCTTCCCAATGAACAAGGAGTTGCCGGCGACCCCGGTTCAAGCGAGCACGCACCACTGCAGCCGGAGTAAGAATGACACGCCCATGAAGCGTGGATGGAAGAGGAACAATGGCTTCTGGAGGGTCCCCTTCATACTTTTTCAGCAGGGCCACATGAAAGACATCATGAATATGAGACTTCGGCGGAAGTCGCAGACGATAAGCCACGGCACCCAAGCACTCAACAATCTGATAGGGTCCAAAGAACCACGGCCCTAGCTTGGAGGAGGCTGCCTGAGTAATACCAATAGCTGTGCGGTGATGAAGGTGGAGCAGCACCCAGTCACCTACATCAAACTCCACAAATCGGCGCTTCTTGTCATGAATCTCCCGCATAGTGTCCTGAGCCAATACCAAACGATCACGGATGTCCAGCAGGAACTCATCACGGTCATGAAGTTGTTGATCAACAGCAGCCACCTGAGCTAACCCAGGAAGATAGGAAACCATCGATGGTGGAGACCGGCCATATACCACCTCAAAAGGTGTAGTACGCAAGGTAGACTGGTAGGAAGTATTGTAACAGAATTCCACCCAAGGAAGCCACTGCAACCAAGAACAAGGCTGATCCCCCGCTAAACAATGCAGGTACATAACTATGATACGATTAGTGACCTCATATTGCCCATCTGTCTGTGGATGAAATGCGGAACTGCGTAGTAAGGTCACACCAGCCAGCTTGAAAAGCTCTTCCCAAAAATTGCTAGTGAAAACAGTATCCCGATCACTCACAATAGAACATGGAAATCCATGCAGCCGCAT